GTCCGTCGTGATGGGGCCTTCCAGCGAGTCCATCTGCAGCTTCTCTGACAGGGAGGGGGAGTGACAAGCCAGGTGGACCTCTGAACCATTGTCATCCAGGCTGCGATGCGAGACAGGCAGACAGCAGATGAGGCACACGGGTTGAGGGTGACGTCAGACGCCCTGCAGAGGGAGCTCTTTGTCTCCTCAGGCGGGTCTGCCCCTCCGGCCTCTGAGATGCTGTACGTCAGTGGCGCAACGTTATTGTTCGCTGCAGCTGCCTGGAACGCATACTGGTGAGCTCGGTTGGAGAGCGATGTCACCGTCTGGTCATGCCTCCCCGGAGATGCAGGACGCTGATCCAACCTGGACATCTTTGCTCCGAGAGCCTCCGCCAGGCTTGGCTCCAGGGGGGCACCGAGGGAATTTCCGCTCGGTAAAACCCCTGCACTCTGTTTATGGGCGCGAATGTGGAAACCGACACTCTCAGTCTACCAGGTCTGGCTGCAGCCTCGTTCCAGTAGGACGTCACTGCTGGAAAAATGACGCCAGATGGGATCAGGATGGCGAGCCGGGGTGGAGCCAAAAAACCTTCCCGCTTGATCATCTGATCTGGGTGGGGGAAGGAGAGGGACGGAAAAAAGTCCCTTCGTGTCAGCCGCCTCCTGGATTATGCCGGGCAGCTCCAATAGGAGGGCACCGACAGCTGGGAGCGGTGTGGTCGCCGATGCGAAAAGGCCCCGGGGGTGAGCATGCGCTCAGCCCCCCTCGTTCCGACACTACGCTCTCCAGGAGGGAGTGAACAGCGGGGACTGCTGCTGACGTTGCCTGTCAGGTTCCCGGAGGAACCATCCGATTCGCTTCGAGAGTCGGCGTTAAAAGGAAAAAAGGGTCGATGGCGTCATCCAGCATGTAGCGACCCGCCACTGAAAAATATTCCTCGCCGCTTACCTTGAAACAAGACTGCTCGTCTGCTTTTCCTCGGGGAGGAGAACTCACTGGGACGGCAGGAGGTTGGCGTGGCGGGACCCCAGGCAGCCTTAACAAAGGTTGTGCCAATCAAGCTGGACAACTTCCCTTCTTCGTTCTTCTGACAGTGCTATTAGCTTGCTAAAGAAAAATGGGAGCCAATTACCTGCTCTTAACGTAATTTATACAGACAGGGTGGGGCCCACACAACAGGTGGGCGTGGACTAAATTTTTCAGTGCGATGCTTTGCATGACGGGATAAACCCACCAGCGACAGCTCTTAAAGGGCAAAGCTTATATGAAATAGAACTTTGTGCCGCTGGATGTAAAGTGTGCCTTATATCATTCAACTTGAACTCATTGCAAAATTCAAACAAAATGGAGTTGTAATGATGATTTTGCATCTTTGATGGATATCTATCAAGCCATTTGTCCATTACCATATAATGGTCTCCTCCAAAAATAATTTCACAATTTAAATATATTTTAGACAGGTTTTTTGAAAGCATTGTTCAATTCTGTAAAGTTTTTTTTTTATTATTGTGATCCTTGTAACCATATAGATTACTGTATTATAAAATAAACCTCTTAATATGCATCATTCACCACCAAAAGTCTATGCTATAATTTGTTATAAATAAGCTGTTGCAACTTGAGCTGTTGCGGGCGTCTGCCTCAGTCCTCATCTCGGACCCCAGACCCGCCTTCAGCTCACACGGCTCCCGGCTCAAACCCCCTCAGAAGGAGTAACTATCTCAATAAATCAAGTAAACATGAATTCAGTTTTACCAATTGTATTAAATCAAGGCAGGAAAATATTTCAGTTACAGTTTTACAGTGCTGGCTTCTCCGATACAGTTTGATGCAAAATCTTGGACAGGAGGGTGCGAATGACACACTGCCTTCCAACTATATGGGCCTAGGCTCCACCTTCTTCCATGAGCACAGCCTATCAAGTGGATAGAGGGGCAGACAAAGTGTGATCTCATTGGATCTTTTGTGGTCTGACGTGTCAGGCAAAATGATACGATGCAGAAAAAGCCTTTCTACATGGTGCAGTGAGCCAATAAAGAAATAACAAATAAATAAAAACTATTCCTTGACGGATATTGAATCCCTGCGAGACTCTTTTTCTTAAGAGTTGCTGGCCCTGTTTAAACCGGTCAGAACCGGGTCATAATCTCATTACAATCCGTCTCTGAGCAGATCAAAAACCCAGGGTCAGTCTAGATAAAATACTATAGCAAAGCAAAATCAGTTGTTTTTATTTGTACCAATTACAAGTTGTTAGTTTACATTCAGACATTGACGAGTACAATTGAGGCAGTTTGTCTCACAATGGCTATAGTAAAACTGAGTTCATGTGAACACTACATGCTCTCGTCAATATTTCATTTATTTTTGTGCATTATTGATAAAACAGCTTCACAAAAAACAAGTAATACTGGATCATTTTCCTTGATAAATAAATGACTGAGTATAATATTTTTGTCTCATTTGTTTAACTGGGTTCTCTTTATTTACTTTTAGGACTTATGTGAAAATCTGATGATGTTTGGGTCATTTTTATGCAGAAATCTGTAAAGTTTTAAAGGCTTCATAAACTTTCAGCCACCACTGTATGTGTGAATATAAAGTTATAATTGTGGCTGATGTTTGTGTTTTCTGTGTTCCCTGCAGATATTCAGCAGATGGTGCTGATTAAAGAAGAAGCTCCTGAAGTACGGATGCTTGGTGTGGACCAGCAGGATCCAGAGACCCTCAACATAAAGGAGGAAGAGGAGGAACTGTGGACCAGTCAAGAGGGAGAGCAGTTTTGTGTGAAAAAAGAGACTGATGACTCCGGGTTTGCATTCACTGCTGTTCCTTTGAAGAGGGAGGAAGATGAAGAGAACCCTCTGTTTTTACAGCTTCATCAGCACCCAGTAAAAGAGGAAGATCTTCCAACCAGCAGCTCAGCTGACCAGATGAAAGCAGCAACTGGTGGAGAGGACTGTGGAGGAGCAGAGACTACCAGGAACCCAGATCTAAATACTTATGGAGATGATTGCAGCTCTTCAGAGACTGAAGTCAGTGAGGATGATGAAGGTGATGATGTGAATGACTCTGACTCTCAGCTAAAAGACTTATTAAACTCTGGGTCAGAACCTGAAGATGGTGACAAAGACTGGAAGGAGAGCAGAGCTCCTGAGTCATGTGTAAACACCGTTAACAAAAATTGCAGCTTCACTGAGCATGGGAAACAATTTCACAAGACAAGTCAGTCAGTGATGTCTTCAAGTTGTTTGGTTGTCAAGGAATGTTTTGAAGTGAAGAAAACTGAAGGCCCAGTCGAGAAAAAACAGTCAAGACAGAACTCATTTAGTTGTAAAGACTGTGGAAAAAGATTTAATAGAAAGTGTAATCTAAACACACACATGATAATTCACACAGGACAGAAACGGTTTAGTTGTGAAGACTGTGGAAAAAGATTTAACAGAAAGGGTAATCTAAAGAAACACATGATAATTCACACAGGACAGAAACGGTTTAGTTGTGAAGACTGTGGAAAAAGATTTAACAGAAAAAGTAATTTAAAAACACACTTGATAATTCACACAGGACATAAAGCATTTGTTTGTAATCTTTGTGGACAAAGATTTGGACACAAGTCAACTTTAAAAACACACATGATAGTTCACACAGGACAGAAACAGTTTAGTTGTGAAGACTGTGGAAAAAGGTTTAACAGAAAGGGTGATCGAAACACACACATGATGGTTCACACAGGAGACAAAACATTTGTTTGTTATCTTTGTGGACACAAGTTTGGGCAGAAGTCACATTTAAACTCACACATGATAGTTCACACAGGACAGAAACGGTTTAGTTGTGAAGACTGTGGAAAAAGATTTAACAGAAAGGGTAATCTAAACACACACATGATAGTTCACACAGGACTGAAACAGTTTAGTTGTGGAGCGTGTGGAAAAAGGTTTAACAGAAAGGGTGATCTAAACACACACATGATAGTTCACACAGGACAGAAATCATTTGTTTGTGATTTTTGTGGACAAAGGTTTGGACGGAAGTCAACTTTAAATAGACACATGATAGTCCACACTAGAGGAAAGCAATTTAGCTCTGAATAATAACCCTTTTTTAATCTCATATCTTATAATAAATAATGCATTCCTTTCAGTAATGTTTTTTCTTAGTACCTTTGTTACCAAACGTTTAATTTTATATTTGACCACAAGGTGGTGCTTTGCTTTTTTAATATGAGACCTGTAAAAGTCTAGTTCAACTTACCCCAAAAGAGGTACGTCTTTCACGGCTAGTCACTGACATCTAACAACGCACAGAAAACAGTTAAAACGTGCTGCAAACACATGAGTGATCCTAACTCCTAAACAAAAAACAAATGCAACAGTAAAAGTCTTCAATCACAGAAAATAGAGAATGAAACACACAATCCAAAAGAATGCTAAGGAAAAGTGCTGCAAATGCCAAAAACACCAAAACAACTGAAAATAATTTACGTTACAAACTCCAAAATACAGACCACTAGGGGGTTTTGTCCACGAAGTCACATGGGACCAGACCAATGTTCCCTCTAAGCTATACGCCTGCGCAATCCCGCACTGCTCGCACACTCTGCGCACAAGAAAATCTATGCTGCGCAGTTGCCAACTGGCCACAAGGTTATCTCCAGTGGTTAACTTGAGCCGGATCCTGCCGGAACAAGATTCGGGAACTCTCTCATTTTGACCCGTTCTGTTCCGGCAACTCTTTGTTCGGATCTGGCAGCTCCGCCCCTAAAAGTCCAAAGTCATCGCACATTTTTATTTTGATTATTTATTAAAAAATACATTGAGAGAATACTTTGCCCGGTGGACCCTGTCTGTGGAGTGGATGTTCCAACCACAGCACGTGCCGCGCACCAGCTACATGCTCCTTCAAGGAGCTGGGGGGGTGGCTGAGCACAGAGGCTCTGTGCAGAGTCCTTCTCTCCTCCTCCTCTCCAAATATTGTCCATACTCAGCGGGGCTGCGCACTGGAAAAACCCCCTCTCCCCTCATCTCAGACCCCCAAAACAGAAATGACCATTTATTCAACATAATAAATACCATGTGGACAGTTCACGTTACGCACAGAAACGTCTCCAGGCAGCTCTAGCACGCGCACATCAGCAGGTATCTGAACTCCTGCTACATTTCAGACATAATAAATAAATAAATCTTACGGTAAAAAATAAATAAAAAATACAAAGATATAAATGTTTGATGTGTTATTCACATTATACATCACGTTTCAAAACAATGGCGCTAATTTGACAAAATAAAAACAACGATCAAAATGTCAAAAAGACTGTCCAATTTACTTTAATAAAAAAATGGATGGATTGTCCTTAGTTGGACAACAGAGAATTGAAGCCTTCAGGTTGTTCAAACGGTGCCACAAAACTGGAGCAAGAGCGGAGAAGAGCTCAGCTCAGAACCGTGAAGTGAGGGGAGGAAGGAGGGAGGTTTAGGACACCTGACAGAATCGGAGCTGCTCATCCTTCTGTTCCTCTCCAAAATAGTACTTTTATTGTTTACAAATGAAGGTAAATGTATAACAACCCATTAAAATATCTTGATGCATGCTCAGTAATCCAGGTAGAAAAATCTAAAAATGTTAAATCTGGTCCTCTGGACATTCAAAAAACAAACCAAAGCAAAACAACAACAACAAAAAAATGTAGAAACGTTTCGTCTTTCATCCGAAAGACTTCCTCAGTCTGAGGTGCTGTATTCAGCTTAGTCTTATAAATAGCACCTTCTCAGAGTGGATCAACCAGTTTGCTGCTGACAACCAAAACCAGTTGCTCACATGATCAAGAAGGACCATCGGCCTTATAATGGATCATTAGCACCCCGATGGCTGTTTACTATTCACAGAGAGCTGAGTGATGCTAACAATAACAGCATTGTAGGGGAGTGGTGGCGCAGAGGTTAGAGAGGTGGGCCTGTGATCCGAAGATTGCCGGTTCACGCCCCGGCCCCGACAACATCAAAATTGTGGGTGGGGTAGGTGAAACACCCACACTAGCCCCCACCCTCATTTGCCCCACTCTGGGCCCATGAGCAAGGCCCTTAACCCCCACCATGTGCTCCCTAAACAGGTCTCTCTTGAAAATGAGTTCTCGTGGCTCAATGAGACTACCTGTATAAATAAAGGCTAAATGAAAAAAAAAATAAATAAATAACAGCATTGTAAGAGGGGGACAGTTGAACCCGGAGGCCTCCACCCCGTTTAATGATGGACGATTTCTTCTCACAAAGATGGTCTCCTTTACTCCTCTCTCAAACCATCGTTCCTCTCTGTCCAGGATGTGAACATCTTCATCCCTGAAAGAGTGACCGCTGGCCTGGAGATGAGTGTAGACCGCAGAATCCTGGCCTGATGATGTTGATCTTCTGTGCTGGGCCATCCTTTTGGCCAGTGGCTGTTTAGTTTCCCTGATGTAAGACTGATCACAGCCCTCCTGACACAGAACAGCATACACAACATTACTCTGTTTGTGCCGAGAGACCAGATTTAACTTTTTTAGATTAAGGCAAATATTTATTTTATTTACCCATTATTTATACAGGTAGTCTCATTAAGTCACATGAACTCATTTTCAAGAGAGATCTGTTTTGGGAGCAGATAGTAGGGGTTAAGGGCCTTGCTCAAGGACTCAGTGTGGGGCAAATGAGGGTGGAGGCAGGTGTGGGTGCTTCACCTTTTCCACCCACATTTTGATGTCAGTCCGGGGAGTTGAACCTGCGACTTTCCGATCACAGGCCCATCTTCTCTAACCTCTGCGCCACCACTCCCTCCCCACTGTCACAATGACAGTCTTGAGAGTGGAGTTGTTTTAAGATGGCAGCAGTTTGGTCTTTCCACTGCATCAATTAGCTATTAAAGATTAGCCATTAGTAATGACAGTGGGAATGTGAGCATGTATGAACTTCTACCCCCCTAAACACCAATATAAAATATATTATAATTAGGCTTGTCGCAATAAACAATAAATCAATCACATAATAAATGAAAATTATCTACCTCATTTTCATTTATCAGCTTTATCGTTTCTTCGTGTCTCTCTCTTTCTACTGAAGACACTGGACAAAAGGCTAAACTCCGGTGCTCCTCACTGACCTCTCCCTTTCTCTTTTCTCTTTAAAATCTGTTTTTGCAATCCAAAATTATGTTTTAGGATTGTTAAAAGCAGCTAATCTGAGAAGCTAAGCTACGAGCTAAGCTAACAAGCTGACCTTGGGGGGAAAAAACTCAGTCTTGTCGGAGCTCCAAAATTCACGGTTGAAACCTGTGCCTTCTTGTAAAAAGTTGTTTTTCTCTGCAAAAAGAAGATGAGAACTTGTTTACCGATTTTTTAACATTTTTATTAAAAACTTTGTGACAAATGCTATGCTAAAGAGCTCAAAACACACCGAATGTCTGCCATTTTGAGAACCGAAAACAGGAAGGGGAGATAGCACATGTCACGTCAAGGGGCCTCCCTCCCATTATTTTTTAAAGAGACACGCTGCTCGCTCCCTCACTATCCATTCTTTGGTTCAAATAGTCTTATTCTGCCATCCGGTGGTCGAAAAACTGTATTACACTCAAAACAAATAAAACATTTCTTTTTAAATTTGACAATTACTAATTATTGTCAAATTTCAAACAATGTTAGTCCGTGGGTGTTCTCACAGAAAATTTTGAATAACAGAAATGCCATTTCCTGCATTTTGGTGTATTTTAATGGATTAATGGGTTTAGTTGGCAGCTCAGAACTCCACATACAGAACACCATGGACTTTGTGGATAAGGTGAGGGATGTCATCATGGAGACTGATGAAACAATGGTCTCTTTTGATGTCACATCACTCTTTATGTGCATTCCTGTTGATGATGCAGTAGAGATGGTCAATTTAAGATTAAAATCAGACACCACTCTGAGCAGCAGGACCACACTTTTCACAGAACTACTGTGTCAACTCTTGAAACTGCCTGCAGTCAACCTACTTCACATATGGGAAGCAATATTATAGGCAGAAACATGGGTGTGCTATGGAGTCAAACTTGACTTGTTGTTTTCATCCAGTTTGACACGACTGTCAACAAGGAAGAGGGCCAGCAATGGAGGAGGGGGCGTACCAAAGAGACCATCTTAGCACCAACAAAACTGGTTTGTTCCACTTTGGAGTAAGCTGTTGGGGGAAGAATCAGTTTTGTGTTGTGTGTTTCCTTGACTGATGAAGCCTTCCGGATTGAAGGTGAAACGTTTCAGCACAAAAAAAAAAAGAAACTGTCCAGATGACCTGACTGAAAAATGTTGGATTGTGTACCTGGATTATTGAGCATGGACTTTGTTGCAACCAATGGTGTGTTCTGAGAAACCGATTTTTGTAAACTTATGACGCAAGATGTTATGATCCACAGTGTCAAAAGCTTTAGACAGGTCTAAGAAAAGTGCAGCACAATAATCCTTAGCATCCAGTGCTTCAACAACGTCATTAAGAACCTTCATTGAAGCAGTGGTTGTGCTGTGTTGTTTCCCGAAACCAGATTGATGTGGAGGTAAGATGTTAAATGAGTCCAGGTAATTTTTGATTTGAAAGTTTATCAGTTTTTCTAGAACCTTGGCTAAAGTGCAGAGTTTAGAGATTGGTCGATAGTTGTTCAGTGAGGTGGGGTCACCTATTTCAGCAAAGGAAGAACAAAGGCTGTTTTCCAAGCGTCTGGAATGGAATTTTGGCTTATGGACAGGTTAAAGATAGAGATGCACCGATCTGATATCAAAATCTGTACCGATATCGGGAAATTTTCTGGATCGAGTATCGGTGACAATGTGACTGTCGCTGGTCGCTGGACTGTAGGTCTGCTGCAATTATTTTTGGAGAATCGTCTGAAACAAACACACAGCATGTATTACCAAACCATTTTTAATAGACATTTCCATACTATTACGCTCGGCTCCCACTAGATGTAGCAAATTAGCGTTAGCTTACCCTCACATGTAGTCTACCTCACATCTTTATGTCTTCCCACATTCTCCTGCGCTTCTCCAGAGCCTTTTGCCTTGCTGGCCGCAGCCTTTTCTGGGTCTCTTCATTTTGACTTTTGACAAAAAGCCACAGACTGAGCAGAATGTTCCAACAAAGCTATGAGATCCTCCATTTTTGCTGTGTATCG